CTGCCACGCTGGACTTCTTGTGTGGACCTTTCCCTGTGGGGAAGGTGTGCGATGTGCTGTGGGGTGAAGCCATCTGAGAAGGAAGAGGCCTGACCCGAGTCAAGGGCTGATGCCAGCCCACCGGAGGAGAGCGGCTGCTCCTTGATGCTGGAGGAGAGGCTGAAGCCCTGCTTGTCTGGCGCCGTTAGGGCAGAGGAGGGCTGGGGTCTGGGCCCAGGAGGGGCTGTCGGGTCTGGGCTTCTCCGGGGGTCTTTGGCAGAGCGTGAGAATCGGGAGGAGAAGGGAGCAAGGTGTCAGCAGTGGGTGGAAGCTGAGCTGGGGGATGCAGAGGGAAGGTGTTGCTAGTGGTCTTGGAATGGGGCATGAGGGGCTTTGAGAAGGGGGTGCAGGGGAATTAGAAGGGGATTTGTCCTCGTTGAAGGGCTGGTCACATTGTCCCCCTGCCCCAGAGCCACGCTGAAGGGTTCTGTGCTGGGAGGGGACGCTGCCCCACGCTTCTCTGCACGCACACCTCTGCTCAGCGCTGCCGTCCGTCGCTTGTCACCCTTTTGTGCCCCTTCTCCTCTCCCCTGACACACCACAGGCCCCTCGGGGGGATAACACAGCTCTCTTCTCTGCTGTCTTTAGCCTGCGAGCTCCTCAGACAGCGACGTTCCCGAGAACGACCCGATGGGAGGAAGCGACGGAGGTGACGATGAGGAAGACGCTGCCATGGCTGCGGGCGACGCCACAGAGAAAATGGAAAGCGATGAGGACTCGGATCGAGGCAGCGACCACAGTGGGCTCAAGCGAAAGTCACTGGCTATGAAAGTGAGTGTGGGCTGAGGTGGTTCCACGCAGCGGGGACAGGAGGGTGTCCTGGTCAGGAGGACACCGATACGGTCCATGGGTCCACCACGGAGCTGCACCTTCCATCCACCGTGCAGCGTGTCAGACCCACCGTGGCAGGAGGTGGTGAAGAAACCAACTCCCTCTGGGTTCTCGGGTGGGAAATGGGGTTCAGTCCATGTTGGGGGGTCTCGCAGCTGTCTCATGTTGTCTGTGAGATGGTGAGATGGCCAAGTCCTGGTGTGGTTTGCAGCCTGGAGGAGAAAGCAGAGCTGCAGATCTCTTCTGAGTGCACGTGGCTGCTCTCACAAGGCCGGTTGGGAAGAGCTGGGCAAAGCCCTTTCCTGGGAAGAGCTGGGCAAAGCCCTTTCCCAGCAAGCGTTGGCTCTCTGTTGTGGGTGGAGGGGGAGTGGGCTTCTCTCACGTTGTCACTTCTCGAATATCAGATGCCGGTGGCAAAACGACCTCGGAAATCCTCCAGTGACCTGGATCAGGGCAGCCCTTCCCTGTCAGAAGAGGAGAACTCGGAAACGTCTTCCGAGTCGGAAAAAAACAGTGACCAGGTGAGCGGGTTTTGGGATACACTTATGGAAGCTGGCAGGGTGGTGGGTAAAGGGCTGTAGGAAGAGCATCACTGTCTGGGAGGGTGGGCAACGGCTTGAGGGAACCTGACTGGCTTCTGAACCGTTGTGAGACTGTTCCCTATTTCTTCCTATCTGTGTTTTCCTCCAGGACTTCACTCCTGAGAAAAAGCCAGTGGCCAGGGCTCCCCGGAGGATGCCAGCAGCAGGGAGGAAGAAGAAGGTAAAAGTGGGAAGGAAGCTGGAGAGGAGCCTGGGGTCTGCGCTGCCTGGAGTGGGGCTGGGGGGTCTGGGCTCTGCCAGAGGCTGGGTGTGGGCTCAGTGCTAGGAGGGACCTGGCTGCTGCCCCAGTGGCCTGGTTGTGCCCTGTGCTGCTGTGTTTCGGGGCACACTGCTGGGCTGCTGCCACCCTCCCGCTCCCACCCCACCCTGTGCCTGCAGAAAGTGGAGTCCGGTTCCGACTCAGACTCCAAAGTGGACTCGGATTTGGAAGTGGGAAATGCGACTGTGGACATGACCAAGTCGGACTCCAACTCCGATTCGGACTCGGATGTGTCTGTGAAGAAGGCTCCACGGGGCAGGAAGCCAGGTAACGCCGAGGAAGCTTCTTACACCACCGCTGGGTCACTGCTGGCTGCCTCAGGGGACTGGAGACCATGTGAGGTTGGGGGTTCCTGAGGCTCTGGGGTCCCCTTGTGTTGTGGACATCTTCCAGCCCTTCTGCCTTGCAGTTTGGGGCTAGGGACAACCAGGGCTCCTGCGGACCATCTCATGGTTGTCTTGCAGCTGAGAAACCCCCTCCCAAGCCCCGTGGCAGGAAACCGAAGCCCGAGCGTGTCCCGACCAGCTCCAGCAGTGACAGGTGAGATCGGCTGGGACCCCGTCACCCTTGGATGGGCTGGAGGGTCACCCACCGCCCCTCCGCACACGGGGTCCAAGCGTGCTCTGTCCTTCGCAGTGACAGCGATAGCGACGTGGACCGCATCAGCGAGTGGAAGAGGCGAGATGAAGAACGACGGCGGGAGCTGGAGGAGAAGAGGAAGAGGGAGCAGGAGGAAGAGATCCGTCGACTCCGGGAGCAGGAGAAAGAGGAGAAAGAGAAGAGGAAGGAGAAAGCGGAGAAGAGCGAGGAGATGCACTCGGACTCAGACAGCAGTGCAGAGGATGAAGTGGCCAAAAAAGGCCGGAAAGGTCGAGCCAAGGCCCCGTCCTCCTCGGACTCTGAACTGGAGCTGGAGAAAGAGGTGAGTACAGAGCCATGGGGAGCTGGGGACAAATAGGCAGCCCATCCTCTCAGGTCAGGTCAGCAGGGACCTCCAGGAGCAGCAGGGACCTGCTGTCCCGGTCTTGCATTACCCTGGGATGGCCCATGGAGCACAGGGAAGGGTTGTGTCCATAGGCACATCCATGCCTTGTAAGCAGGAGCTCTTCTGGCTTGGGATGCCCCATCCAGCTGTGGGTCTCGCATCGCCATGATGCTCTTCCTCTCACCACACTCATCAGATTTGCTCCACTGCCCTCCTTGGAGCTTGGAGAGCATCAGCCGGATTCTGCTGGAGCACAGGGCAGGGTTGCAGAGGGCTCAGAGGAGCCGTGCTGCCTGTGGGGAGAGGCAAGGTCACCCTTATAGCCTGGTGAATTCCTCCCTGCGGAGGGGGAGCCAGGAAAGCAGCCTGAAGATCTTGAGGTCTGGCAGGACGCGTGGGTAACTGCAGGCTGGGTGGGCCACTTTGGGTGCCGGGATATTTTCTTACGGAGCAGCGCGCTGCTGTGCTGCAGCCCGAATTCTTTTCCATCCCGTGGGGGGGATGCCCCCAATCCCAAACTGACTTGCAGCAGTGGTGCCCTGGGTGCTGGATCGTGCCCAGCCGGGGCACCGTCTCCCTCCCGCAGCGGGGAGGGCTCTGCCGCTCTCGCCTGCATTGTTCTCTCCTCCAAGGTAAAGAAGCCGGCGAAGAAGCAGCCCTCGGAGTTGTCAAGGAAACCGAATCAGAAGGAGAAGAGAGGCCGAGCAGAGGAGAAACCACGGAACAAGTCAGCATCTCCCCTGCCCGCAGCGGGGCTTTCTTCCTCTGGGGCCGGGGCCGTTCCTCTGCTGCTGCCCAGCCCCCCGGCTGACACCCCAGGGTGGGGATGGGGCTCCCCCTGGTGCTGCCCCTGGGCCAGCAGCGCCCATGGAGGGGCCAGGCTGTTTCCCCTCTTGTCTCCTAGAGCTGAAGGGGCTGCAGGAGGGTGTTGGGGGGCACCAGGCTGAGCTTCCCTGGTGTTTCCTGCCTCGTAAGGGGAGATCCTTGGGGTATCACTTTGGGGTTTTGTCTTTCTGCAATTCTGGGAAGCTGGGGCACGGGGGAGCTGCCATCTCAGGGCTCCTGTCCGCCTGCGAGTGTGGAGATGTGTGTGAAAGCGTGGGTGGAGCGCGGCAGGGCTCTGCTGCCTGGCTCGTGCTGTCGGGGCGGCGGGGGACACCAATGTGTGCCCTCACCCTTCTTCTTAGCCCAGCGGCAAGCGGGTGGTTTCACCCGAATGATCGTCCCTCTTTCCTGTTCCTCCCACAGGCCTTTGAAAGTGGAACGAGGCCGAAAGAAATCTGACCTGATCCCCGAAAGGAGGGTGGAGAAGAAAAAGGGTGAGAGAGCCGTTGCTTGCCATCGCAGAGGGGAGGAGAGGGAGAGAAGGGATCCAGGGCTAGTTCCCCCATCACAGGGAAGGGGAAGGATCTTTCCCACAGGGATCGGTGTGGTTGTACTGGGGCCCTTCCCAGCGCTGTTGTGGCCCCAGCATCATGTTAGAAAGTTATTTACAGGGTGTGCAGAGGTGATGACCTTCACTATATACATCCCCTCCCGATCTTGGCACACCCCAGCCCATCTTCTTCAGAGAGGCCCCTGGGCTTGGAGATGCAGGTGGAAACCAAACCCTTGATGGGGGGAGAGGTCCCAGGCTCTGGGCAGTGCCGTGCGCTCCTCTGGTGGCCTGATGTCTCGACCTGTCTCTTTTGCTGTTCCAGAACCCACAGTCGAAGAAAAACTTCAGAAGCTTCACAGCGAGATCAAGTTTGCCCTGAAAGTGGATAACCCGGTGAGTGTCCCAGAGCGTTGGCCTGGCCTGGGAGGTCCCTGCTTGTGTCCTCGGCCACCGTGGGAGTCTTGCCTGGCTGTGATATCTGGTGGTGCTCGGCCCAGCTGAGCCTCCTCTTCCCTTTCTGGATGCTGGGTGGCATTAGGGGACTGTGCTTCACACAGCACTGCCCCAGGTACCCACAGAGAGACTTCCAGGCAGCTTCTGATCTTGGTGCCATCCTTGCAGGACATCAAGCGATGTCTGAACGCACTAGAGGAGCTGGGCACGCTCCAGGTCACCTCTCACATCCTCCAGAAGCACACCGACGTGGTGGCTACGCTGAAAAAGGTAGGGCAGAGGGCTGAGTCCCTGCCTGGAGGCAGCGAGCGAGCCTGCTTGGGCCACCCTGGCAACGAGGGTGTCCCTCCTCCCTCTTTCTGGTGCAGATCCGTCGCTACAAGGCAAACAAGGATGTGATGGAGAAAGCTGCCGAAGTCTACACCCGGTTGAAGTCGCGTGTGCTGGGACCAAAGATGGAGGCAATCCAGAAAGCCAACAAAGCCGGACCTGAGAAGGACAAGGGGGAGGCGGAGAAGGGCCAGGAGAAGCTGTCGGGAGGGGAGACACGGAATGAGAAGGGGGAAGAGGAGACAAATGCTGGTAACGCTCCCTGCATGTCTCAGGGCGGTTCCCTGCTCTGTCCGGGCACGTAGCGATCGCGAGGCCCTCCGCAGGGCACGGCACATCCCGCTGGGGACACAAACAGGGACACAGTGGGGACTGGGGACATGAATAGGGGGTGGCTCTTGACCTCGATGGCAGAGGGGATGGGCAGCCATGCATGGCACCTGCAGTCCCTCGTCTGCTGGAGTGCCAAGAGTGGGAAAGGACTGAATATGGACTGCTCGCGGCAGTGAGAGCAGAGGGCAAACCTTGGCGCCCACGCCCTGGATTTGGGTGCCTCTGGGCTGAGTTTTGGCTCAGGCTGGCTCCTCGCTGCCAGCTTGAGTGCTGGTCCAAGGCACTGGGGAGATGGAGGAATGCGGAGACGCCCTTGGACGCTGGCTCAGGCTCTTGCGCAGGCAGCTGGTGACTGGGATCTTCCACCCTCGGAGCCGAGTCGCTGCCTGGGGACGTTCTGGTGATGCTGCAAGAGCCTTCCCAGAGGAGCTGGTGGGGAAAATCCACTCCGACGCCTGTCTCTGGGCTTGGGGGATGGAGTCTTAGGGGCCATTCTTGTAGCTACCGGGGTCAGGCCACACCTGGGGTCCCCTCGGTCTTGGCTGGGTGTCCCTTGCCTGGGTGGGAACAACCTGTGGCCGTGGGTCCTCAACTTTCCCAGCCCCTCATGGGTCAGGATGGATGAGATCCGACACGGTGACCTGAGTGTCTGAGCCTCTCTCTTCTCTTTAGACTTGTCAGGTCCTGTGAATGGTGAATCCCTGTCCCAAAAAGCAGAGGGCACAGAGGAGAAGGACAAAAGCCAAGGGCCGGAAGCTGGAGAGGCAGAGGCATCCGCCAAGGAGACCCACAACAAGTGAGCGTGTGAGGGACAGAGCTGGGGGGCTTGGAATCCCCCTGGGTCCCTGCATGTGACACAAATCCCAGGTGGGCTCTTGCATGGATGATTTGGGGGGTGGTCTTCTGAGTTGTGTCAGGTTTTTCCCAGCTTGGGAAGGATCCTGGGGTGGGGACAGGGGCTGCCGCGGGCAGGGGATGGCAGACGGGCAGAGGAGACCCTCGCTGAGATGCCTGTGCTCTCCCCCAGCAGCGTGCAGGACTATCCCAAGGGCGAGCGAGCCGGGCCGGAGCGGGAGAGGGCTCGCGGGGAGTCGGAGGCTGTGGATGACGTGGAGGAGAGCTGAGGAAGGGGCTCCTGCCCAGAGGAGGAGGAAGAGGAGGCAGAGGGGCTGCGAAGGGAGACCGGCCTCTGCCTCGTCCCCTGCTTGAGTTTCTTCACTAAGTCACACAGTAGCTGATGTCCCAAGTCTTGTCCTGTGCCCCCGCCCCGCGAAAGCACCGAGCGCGGGGGGGGCTGTGCTGGTTGTCTGTATTTGTCTCCTCTTTTTTGTTTCGTTTTGGGTTTTTTCGTTTGTTTTTTTTTTGTTTTGTTTTATTTTTCCCTCCTCCCTCATTTCTTGTGATTTCAAGCGACATGAAATGAATATAAAGGGTTTTTTAATGAAAAGCACCAGGAGCCCTAGTGTCTGTTTCTTGAGGCATCGCTGACTGTGACGAGGGGAAGGGCAGGAGCATTCCCCCTGCCCACAGCTGGGACTGGAAAATGCCCCCATGGATCCCCCCCCCATTCCTCTGGCCCTGGCCCAGGGGTGACCCTCTCCTCGAACAGAGGCAGCAGGGCTGGGCACCATCTTTTGGGTAAAAAAAGAGTAAAATAGCGTGTTCTCTCCTATCTTAGCCAGGGAGGGACCGAACCGGGGGCAGCATCCGGCTGCGCACTGGGCAGCATTTCCGTCTGTCTGTCTGTCTGCTCTTTTGCAAAGATCTGAAGCTTTTTGTACGTGTAAAATAAAAACGACGCTCCCGGCTCAACCAGACACTGCGTCCTCGAGTGCTGTTTGTGCCGGGGAGGGGGGAGGATGCCCTGACCCCCCCGTCCTGCTCCCGCTTCGAGGCCGCTGTTGCCGTAACTCGGCCCTGGGGAGAGGCTGGTTGGTTTTTATTTCCCAGGGTTGATTTCATGCTCCAACTCTCCATAAACAAAACCCAAATAAAACCCCCTCCCAAAAAAAAAAAGCCCTATGTGCCTCTTGCCCAATTCCTGGGAAGCAGGAGGGGGGGAGATGGGGTGAGGTGGGTACTGCTGCCCGCTGCGGGACCAGGGGCTCAGCCCCATCCTCGGGCTGGGGAAGACATGGAGAAAAGTGGGGGGGTGACCCAGATGCCAACCCTGGGGAAGGTGGATGGGGGCACAGGGATGTGTCACTGCGCCCCGGGAGGGGCTGGTTAAGCCCCGTGGTGCCCCAGCAAGGGGCTCGTGTGAGCCCCCCGCCCCATTGGGACATTGCTCTGGGTAGGGGGTAGTTAAAGGTGGATATGAGGTCTGGGGGTGTCGTGTGTCCCCCTCCCACTCCCCAAACTCCCCCATTGCCTTTGGCTGTTGCAGCCCCTGGGGGTGGGGGGGAACACACACCGAATAACACCAGCTGTGTGGGGCTGAGCCGTGCTGGGGGGGCCCTGGGGTCCTGCTCAGCACCCCCCCTCACCAGTGCCCTTGCCACCAGT